ACAAGGGTCCAGATTTATTATAGTGCACAGCCAACCGACCCCCAGCACGCCCTGATCTCACTGCTGCCAGCCCCCAGCCTCACACTATGCTGCCACTGAGCAGCCCTGTTTACTGGCACTCTCACTACATTTCATTTCTCTTGCCTTGTTTTCTTGGCAAATTCTTCCAGGGTGAAGCTGTTTAATAATATTTTCAGCGGCATGCAGGCTGCTGGAAAAAGATGGCCAAAAGATTTTCCCCACCTCTGTGGATTTGCCATTTCAGGCCAGAGCTGAAATCCTGTGTACTGCTCTAGCAAGGAGATGGCCTGATGGGGATGGAGCTGGGACTTGAGCTGCCAGTGGGGTGAGAACAGGCAGGTGAGAACAGGCAGGTGACAACTGTGTTCCCCAGGAGGGAACATGCAGGAGATGGCATTCTTTTTGGGACCAAACACTTTGCTGTCTTAAAGCACAGCAGACGTAAAAGCCATGGGAAAGCCCACAGTCTAAGGCCAACTGCAGGCACTCAGCCTTGGTTCCCCCCAACCCATGGCGTTCGGGGGACACAGTCCTGCTATGGAGGGAGAAACCCCCAGTGAGAGACTTTGCACTGATTTTCTCTCTCATTTTCTCACCTGGTTAATGCAGGATGGTGAGGTGAATGGCACACATGCTCCACCATTCCAATGAGGGATATTCAGGGACGGTGAGCTCCATTCCTGCATCACTGCCAATGAATGCCCCCAGGGAGCAGCACGGCTGAGAGCTCCCACCAACTGCTGCCTTGCAGTGCCTTGCACCACAGCTACTGAAACACCATGCATGGGCTGCCAGTGCTTGCAGGGCTGCTGCTCCCCACAGTCTGCATGTGGGGCATTTTGAAGAGCCCACCGTCTGGCTGGAAATGCCCCTGCATGACCTCAGGACTACAGAATCCAGCAGGAGCACTGCTGAGCCACCAGATCCTGCTGCTCCAGCACGACAGCTCCTGCAATAAGGCAGCTCCTGTAGGGCTGTGCCAGGACGTTGGGCACAGCAGTAAGGGCAGGGGGCCCAGCAGGATCTCCATAAGCTGCAAAAGGTGGAACCACATCCCTGGCAGCCTTAAAGCAAGCACTCCACAGCCACGTGTTCCAGAGGAGCAGCATCACTGGAGACAGCAGAGTGGAACAGGGCAGCCCCATGTTGTTTAGATGGGCATCGAGCTCAGTCCCAAACCCTTTGCTTTGAGTGAGGAGGCTCTGTGCAGCCACGGTGACTCACCCATAGGGCCCAGTGAGGGCCACCCCTCCCCACAGCCTCTCCCTTCGCGAAGGAACTGCTGAGACTACTAAGAATAGTTAGAAACCAAAAATAGAATAATTTTTTTTTTTTTCTCTCTTCTCTTATTCAAAAAAAAAAAAAAAAAAATTAAAACCAAAAAAAAACAAAAACAAAAAACAAGAACACCACCAAAAAAAAAACAACTCCATCCTCTGAAAATAGCCAGCTGCAATCCGGTGAGCCGAACCACTCCCTTGACTCGTCCAAACCCCACTGCAGGGCTGGGATGGCACGGGACCGTCCCTGCTCCCATGACATGTGCCACCCAGCACTGATGCGAAGCCATCCGTCCCCACTCCTCTACATCTACCGCAGGGAAAAAACAGCCATCAGAGGTCTTTAGATGCAGCAGTGACAGCGAACGGACAAAAAGGGTCAACGTGATGAGACGGCAGGGAGGTGTGGGTTCGCCCCGGGGACCACGCGGAGAAGCTCGGACGGTGCCTCCAGCATTTGGGGAGCAGAGGGAAGGGGCTGGGGCAGAGGAGGAGGAAGCAGAGGACGGAGCCCGCATGGCCCTGGCCGGGTGAGGGACTGACCCAGCTGCAGTTCTCTAAGTCATTTGATGAGGTGCTTCCAGCATTTCCATCAAGAAGGTGTCGATCGGCGTGTCGCCTATTAGTTTGAAGAAGAAGAGGTGCTCCAGGCATTTGAGGCCGATGGACCGGAGGGCTGGCAGGCGGAGCAGGAGCTTGGCGAACCTGGGGGTAGGAAATATGGTACAGTTAGAGGGCCTCAGCTGCACCGCCCACAGGCTCTTCTGCTCCCAAAGCAAAGAAATCACAATGAGAAATCATTAATTACAGCCCTAGCTTTGAAGATCTGGTAGTGGATATTTACAGCAAACATCTGCTAAACTGAAAGAGGAAAATAAGGCACGAAGGGCCATCCCTGGGCTGGGCGTGCTGTATCCGTGCCATGCTTTAAATGCAGGGAGCAGCCTAGCTTGTTTATGGGGTCCCTGCAGCAAGGAGAGTGCAGCAGCTCTCAGCTTGTTCAGACAGAAGGGAAAGCAGCTGAGGAATTGAAAGGGTTCCTATGGGGGTCAGCAGGACCACCCTGGGAGCCCCCACACTGCCCACCAGAGGGAAAAAAAAGCCCTTTAACCAATTGGCTTTAATACAGCACAGTCAGGGTTTCAATATGGACAGAACCAGCCCAGAGAGAAGGAGAGCAGAAAACACACACACAGACCCATGCACGAACACACTGATGTTATACACGCATGCACACTTCTCTTTCTCTTTTCCCTATTTTTTTTTTCTTTTTTTTTTTTTTTCTTTTGCTGAGCTGGCAAGAACAGAGGGAGCAGAGCCAGGAAAAACAAATCAGCTCTACCATCCCATTCAGGAAGTTTCACTTTAAACCAAACCAGATGATGGCTGCAGCCCTTGGAGATGTTTAACTGTGAGCACACCAGCCTGCAGCACAGCATGCTGGGGGGGGGGGAGGAGGGGGAAAACAGCCCTGCCTGCTCCCTGCAGCACGCACAGCCCGTGCCCTCCTTGCAGAGCAGCAGGGAGCACGCAATGCTCCACCACTTGCTTCCAGCCCCAGCTGGGGATCACGCTGTGCCAGGAGCACTCTGAGAGCATTCCCTTAGGGGCTGCATAACTCCAGACTCGCAGCCCAAGAGTTAACCCTGCTGAGCCCCTGGGGCTTATTTGCAGTGGATCCTATGTTGGAGCAGGGCTCAATGCTGGCCCTTGTGGGCAGCCCTACAGGTTTACCCCTAGAGTTTTTGCAAAGCAGGGTGTGCAGACAGCACAAGCAGGTCCCCACATCCATTCAAAGCTAGCAAACCAAGCTCCAGAGTCCACACTGGTGCCAGCACGACCCCCACTTTGGACTGTGGATGCCTGTGCAAAGCTCAGAGTGCTTCCCGCTGGGGGAGGGCCTTTATAACACCGCAACCCAACCACAAACACCACAAAGCCTCTTCACAATATGTCTTTTTTCATCTGCCAGCACAATGATATCCCATAACCAGGTCCAATACACTGCCCACTGCATCCACTGCTGTAAGAGCATCCTTTTTCCAATCCACTCAGATCAGGAACGAAGGTGAGACACGAAGCCCAACAGCTCAGGCTGTGTTTCCCAGTACTCTTTCCTCAGCAGCGCTTTCAGTGCTCTGCTTGGTTTCTCAAATGACTGTCAGTCTCTGAACTGGCAGTTGCCAGCTTCAAGGCTGTAACTGGGAAAATGCGCCCACTCAGCTCCAGAGCGGTCCAGGAAAGCATTCCTAATTCCCCCTCCCATTCCCAGCTGGATTGGGGGAGGAGGGGAGGAGAGAGGAGCATCAATTGAGGCTTTCACTTCCCAGCAATGATGCTCATCTGCCACTGAAAATTAACTCCGTGTGTGTCTTGTTTCAGCTGTGGTTTGCTCTCCGTGGTTTCCAAAAGGGAAACGATACCCCTTACCTCTGTGGGCGTTACAGCAGAGCCAGGGCTCCCCAGGACCGCTCCTGCTGGGCTGTGGGGTGATGCCTAGCAGGGGGATGAGGACTTTCTCTACTTCTCAAGGGGCAGTGTGGTGGGGCAATGCAGCAACGACTCACCTCCCAGGCTGGTCGGGGTATTTGTGCTTGCAGTACGCCTCCAGTGATGCGTACACCTTCTCCCGTAATGCCTCCACTTCAGCCGGGTTGGAGAGACCTTTTGAGTCTGAAGGGTGAGAGAAGGAACATCAACTGCCAGCCCTGAGATGGGCACAAGGTCTCCCTGTGCACTGTTTCACCACACTCCATATCCCAACCCAAACCATATGGCTCATTCCAGTGGTCACAGACCCTGAAGCAAAAGGTTTGAAAGCCTTCCAGGCATCAGCTTGGGGGATTTTTCCCTCCAACACCGAGCCCTGCATCAGGGCTGTAAGAAAAGTCCCTGCTCAGGGTCCCCATGATGTGACAAGGACCTGGATCTGGCAAGGACAAAGTCAATGTCCCCAAGCACATGCAGGATGGGAACCTCTCCAGATTTGCCTTCTTTTACCAAATACGGCTAATCCCAAATCGCAGACAACAAATTGCTGGTGATTATAAGAAGGAAAAAAAAAAAAAAAGTGAAGCTGAAAAGTGAAACCAAGAGACAGCGCTGAACCCTGCTGAAAAGCCTGGCGTGGGATCAGGGAACGGGGACAATAATAACAACAACATGTTCTGACTTTGCCCTGATCCATACCTTTGTCTTTCTTAAAGACCTAGATCCACTTGTAGCTCCTGTTTAGCAGCACTCCCTAAAGCACCAGAACTCTGTACAGCTGGGATGCTGAGAATGGGGAGAAGGTGTACATGGATCAAACCAAGCCCCTCCAGAGAGGGAGAGGAAAATGCTTCTTGGAAAGGAGAGGCACTGGGGGCAATGCATGGATCCGGACCCAGGCATGGGACATGTCTGAAAGCTGGCCCTGCTGCCTCGTTCTCAGCAGTGCACACAGTGAATTGCAGAAGAGCTCCATGGGTAATAAAAGGAGCCCAAAGGACACAGCATCGGCCACAAGAGGAGGTGGCTGTACGCACCGGGGTTGAAGAGGACGATGGCTCGCAGGCAGCCCAGCTCTGTCTTGTCCATCTGCATGTCTCGCATCTTCGACACGAGTTCTGTCAGTACTCTGCAAAGGACACAAGAAGCACAGGTGTCAGCATTAACAAGAACCAGGAAAAAAAGCAAAACAGGTGTCAGACCCAGAGAGAGGCGGGTGTTTAATAAAGTCATGGGATAGGACTCATTTATACCAGGATGTGCCCTCATTTTTTTCCTGTATCAAAAATTGCTCGTCAGGAACAACAGCGGTTCCTGTGAGACAGAACAGAGATCAGCAGGACTGGGTTTGTGCATTCACTGTGAATTTGGCACCTGAGAAAGCTGACTAAAAATAAAAAAAAAATAGTAATAAAAAAATAAGGCAGGTATCTAAAAGCAATTTCCTCTGCTGGTAATTTTTATTATTCCCCTTGCTCCTTCTGCAGGTGCCTGTCTTGAAATATTTTCCAGTGATTGCCCAGTGTTTCCTGTTGGAGCCTGCAGTGAAGTCATGTGCTTGCACTTATGACCTCACAGGAAACAAATGATGTCACCCAGCACCAAAGAGCAATTTCCTTGCTAAGTGAGAAAGCATCAGTGGTTTGGTTCCAAGACAGTGCCTCAGGATGAGGCTGGGGCAGAGAAACCAGAATCATATCATAGAATCATAGAATGGCCTGGGTTGAGAAGGACCACAGTGATCATCTGGTTTCAACCCCCTGCTATGTGCATGGTCACCGACCAGCAGACCAGGCTGCCCAGAGCCACATCCAGCCTGGCCTCCAGGGATGGGGCATCCACAACCCCCTTGGGCAGCCTGTGCCAGTGCGTCACCACCCTCTGACTGAAAAACTTCCTAATATCTAACCTAACAGCCGTTCCTTGTCCTGTTTATACGCTCCCTTCAAGTACTGAAAGGCCACGATGAGGTCTCCCCAGAGCCTTCTCTTCTTTAAGCTAAACGAGCCCAGTTCCCTCAACCTTTCTTTATTACAGGCACAGTGTGAGCGGTGCCCAGAGCCACGCTGGGGGGCAAACAATCTGGATGCATTGCTCTGTAACACTTTCCCAAAGCACAACAACTGAAGAGCTGCTGGGATGTGCCTGTGGAACCCACTGGGTATTTCTGGTGCTTTTTCACTGCGACAGTAAAACCGTATCTCGGCCCAATTAGAAATGGAAAATAAGGAGAAGCCCCCTCATAACACTGGGAGGCAACTGGACCCCGTGGCAGAAGCATCGCTTTGCAATGGGCAGAGATCTCTGTGGCTATTTTGTGCTGTTGGCTCTGCACACCCAGGAGCAGCGACTTGACGTGCCCATAGGATGCACGTAGGAGATCCTCCACCGGGGGACACGGAACACAGGGACAGAGCTGGGGTTTCCCACTCTCTCCATTCTCCCACCTGTCAAAGATGGCCCCGACGCCGGCGCTGTGCGCGCTGTTGCGGTGCACGTGCAGCCCAGTGGCCAGCAGGATCCCATCCTTCACAGCTATGGAGCGGTGGGAAAAGGAGGCGATGAGGAGCTCATTCCACCCTGCAGAGAAAACAATAGAAAGGTTGTGGGTCAGAGCCACGCGTCCTCGTGGTGAGGGGATCAGCTGCATCACTGCCATGGCACCAGTGGATACAGTGGCTGAGATGCGTGGCTTCTGTAGCTCAGAATCTGGAGGAGCAACACTGCTCCATGGGCATCCCATACGGCCACGACCATGCCTTGGAAACCAGCCTGAGTTTTATTACCAGAGAGGCATCTTCGGCTGCTCTACAATCCTCACACTCACTATGTGCCTGATTTACCCAGCCCAGATGTCCGGAACACAGATTTGTACAGCAGAGCCCAGTATTCTCCATTTATTTAGTTTTTCATTTTTCTCTTTTCTTTTTCCAGGCTGGAAATGCCATGCAAATACATCTTCCACCTCCCCTCCTTCCACAGAGATGTGCCATTTCTCATTGCCTGCAATAAATACAAGGTCCATGCGTGCTGTGTTTACCTACAGCTGCAGTGATGGGTTGTGCCACTAGAAATGTTACCAGGGAATAAAGTTCACTGTTCCTTAGGTGGCCACAGGATGTTTCCACCCCAATCAAGGGACCGTTTATTTGGTTACATGCTGGGTGAGGTCTGGCACTCGCAGAGGGATTGCAACACCAAGAAAGCCAAGAATGGAGAGCCTGCAGGAAGCTGGAGGGGACCTGGAGAGATGGTGACTCATGGAAACGCGCTGTGGGCTCAGCCCTATAAAAGGAACCACAACCAGGCTCCCCCTCTCAACCCTATAAAACATTACTGCTATCTCAACCATAGCAGGTTTGGCACGAAGGAAAGCCAGGCAAAACAGCTGAAAAAAAAAAAGTTGGGTTTCCTCCTCCAAAAAGCCCAAGGAGGGAAGATTTTAAATGATTCAAGACTGCAGAGGGAGGCTGCAGCCACCACCCAGCACCGCTCCTCCATGCGTGCTCCACTTAGTTTTGCCTCAGAGGATGCATGAGTGCACCTGATGGAGGCTCTTAGCTAAATTTTAATACTTAAATATTTCATGGGCAGCTGTTCTCTCGCCACTCAATAATAGATAAAGCCACAGCTTAAAGGACTTGGGGGAGGTTATCTGAGGCCCCTGCAGAGATGCTGGGAGCGGAGAACCAGAGGGAGCTCCTCGTGCTCAGGAACCCATGACAGAACCCCATGATGGGGTCTGCAGCCCCCACGCTCCCCTCACCAACACAGAGGCAGCAGCAGGCCAGAACATCTCCAGTTCAGCCTTCCTCAGCCTTCTTTTGACAAACAACTGCAGCAATTACAGAATGGTTTGAGTTGGAAGGGACCCTGAAAGGCCATCTGGTCCCAATCCCTGCAGCCATTAAGGACACCCTCAGCTCCACCAGGTGCTCAGAACCCCTCCAGCCTGACCCTGGCTGTCTGCAGGGATGGGGCATCCACCACCTCTCTGGGCGACCTGTGCCAATGCCTCACCACCCTTACAAACTATTAGGATTTATTCCAAGTGCATTTGGGGGAAAATATGGAAACATTAAAACTACTGAGGTCTTTTCCTTTCCAATCCCAATTTCATCTTTCCCACTGAGTTTGTCATTTGCTGGAAGGGGTTTCCCACATCCCTCTGCCTGCCCCTCTGTTTCAGGGAACAAAACTGCTGCATTGACTCAAAGCCTTTGTACTCACTTCTGTGATGATGGGAGCTATGCGAAGAGCTTCATGCCTATAATCCACCCTCACTGAATCTGCTTGTAATTTCCTGCCCCTCCCCAGCCCTTGTGCAGGACCTGCCAGCAGCTGAGGCTTGCATTTACTTGCTGGAAGACCACCTCCTTCCCAGCTAACTGCCTGTAACCTCCCAAAGCCCCCGCTCTTCCACACCCCCTGCAGCATAAGGAAATTTAAAATAAACCCAAAGAACTTCATTTTCATCTTGGTGGGTGGGAGAAGGAAGGCGATATATATTTTTCTCCCCTGTCTGCTTTTAATTATGATCAAACATTGCAGTTCTGTGACATTTCATACAGACCCAAACCCCCTTGTCTTTCCAGTCCCAGCTCAGGAGGATGCTGGCGCATCGTGCCCTTGATTTCCTGAGCATCTCGTTCATCACACACAAGGCCAGGCCATTTTTCAGCCCATTGGCAGCTGGTGCAACATTCTGGATCCCATTCAGCAACACATCCCTTGGGGCTTTTTCAATCCTACTTAGCAATCGAACGATCTGAAGCTATTCCTCAGAAGCAGCTAAAGGCTCTCCAGTTGCCAGCACCCAAATCCCAGCACGACGGTTGAGGGATGCAGTGCATTGGGGCTCACCTGCTCGCAGCAGGATGACCTGGTCATCCAGGGGCAGCTCTGAGAAATGGGGGATCCTCTTGGCCCACTCCACCAAGGTGAAGAGCTGCTTGTCGGCCGCCTGGCAAATGTTTGTCACCGGGTCGTTGGGCTGCAAAGAGGAGATGGAAAGGTTTGAAAAAAGCAAGGAGAAAAGTGGGAGGAGGAGGGAAGGGGTTGCTTTCTGTTTGCTCCCCGAATTTGGGAGATCTGTGCTCAATCTATAGGGGTATCATCTGCAGGGACCCTGCAGGGTGCACATCCCCAGTGCTAGCACCTCCTCACTGCACCTCACAGCGTGGAGAGGGCATCACAGTAAGGAGAAAAGCCCCCTCCTTTGAAATATTACCCAGTAACACAAACCATCTGCTCTCAAGGAGGACAGACAGCCTAAACACACCAAATCCCTGTTTAAAGGAACTGCTAACAGCTCAAGTGGGCTTGTGATTAGGAATGGAAAGAGACTGTCTAACCACGGTAAAGACAGACCCTGCCAGCACAAGTGTGTATATATGGTTTACCTCTCTGGACAGGGATGTATGAGCCCCTCCACACATCCCGCTGTAATCTCCACTGATACCTAGCAGCTTTGATTGTACAATTATTTTTCTTCTATGTCCTTAAAAGAACAGTTTCAAACTCAGAGGAGGAGTGTTCGTTGCACCTTTGCATTGCATGGGGCTGGGGCATGGGTTCTGTGCAGCCAAGGCAGGAGCTGCCCCATGCATATGTCTGTGTCCCACGGTGTGCTCCTTCCTTCTCTCCTTTTCACCTTCTTTCTGCCACCCACACTGCTGACTTCTCACTTTTTCACTCATATTTCCTCAGTATTGTGGATTTTGAGGTACCTGCCTAGCACACTGTGGGACTCTGCATGCAATGCATGCCCCTCACCCAGTTGCATGGAGGGAGCAGGAGGTGGAAATGCCATAAGGGATGCATCGGCCCCAGGGGATTGAAAGGGAAAAGGTCAGAGAATAAAACATTGTGGAAAGAACCCTTCCTTTGCTGACTGCAGAGCTGACCAAGCGCTCACAAGCCACAGAGAGGTGAGAAATGCTGCTTTGAGGAAAGGAAAAAGTCCTACAATCCTGCCCAGAGCCATCCCTATGTTCCCCTGCCTGGATGGCTCTGCCGTCCCCTGGCAGCAAACACCACTCTGTGTCTCAGTGACCAACATCTCTCATCCCCAGGCTTAAAATAACCAGCATATGGCAGGAGTAGGAGCACCCGGCTTCAAAGTATTCTCACCTGTTGCTCACAGAGATGGATGGGGACGGGCTGGCACTCAGCTCCACGGGTCAGGAGGGAGCATTACAGACATTGCCCCCCAGCCCTGGTGGCTGCTCAAGAGAGCATGGGCAATGCCCATCCCTGGAGGTGCTCAAGGCCAGATTGGATGGGGCCATGGGCAGCCTCATCTGGTCTGGGGCAAGCAGCCCACAGCATGGGCCAGGGCTGGATGTGCTTTAAGGTCATCCCTTCCAACCCAAATTCTGTGATTGTATGAATTCCTTGGGGAATGACAGCACCTAGCTCCCACAGGTTGCATGCACCACGGCTGCTCTGCAGGCAGCATAATCTGCACTTGGCTTTCGGTGCAAATTCTGCTTCACATCGCAGTTCCTGGAACCACCACGGTGCCTCCTGGCAGAATTGTAATGCAGAGGCAGCTGAAGGCATCAACCCCTGTGGGCCAGAGGGCTCCACTCACCTCCAGGAAGGGCTCTGCGATGCAGTGCTCAGAACTGTCCCACGCATGGAAAGCAAATCTCCCCCTGCAGTAAATAGCAAGGGCACAGTGCCGGAGTGTGACAGAACGAAAGGACAGGAGGGCACCTGATCCTGCTGGAAAACCAGAGCTTGGAGGCATCTTCCAGAAAATGGTGACTTGAAACCAGCTGCTAAAGGCCGGTTAAGAACTCATAGGGATAAAACCTCTCAGTTACAGGCTTTGCCTTTCAGCAGTCAGGAGCCCATCCAAGGTAGTGATCAAGCTGCTGGGGTGAAGGGGCAGAGGCAAAGCCACCCCTCCCCACCATGGGCTTCATAGCACGACTGCACCCACCTCCCCTGGTGCCAACCAAAGTGCTGGGACAGAGCCAAGCATTCCCCCCACTGCTCCCCCTTTAATCAGCTCCGAGAGCTGTGCCAAAGCCCTGTGGCTGGAAGATAAAACCACTGCCAGGCTGCAAAGCAAAGGCACCTCTGCTCCCACAACCACCAGTGGAAGGCAGCAGGAAGGTGACAGCCACAAGCATGACAGCACCTAGCAGAGTTTCACCTGGGTACTGCCCCTCCAGCAGTGCTCACAGATGTACCAAGGTGTGGGGCACAAACACAAGGACTCAACCTGCCTTGTTGAAGGCAAGAGCTCGCATGCATCTGTTAAGGACTGAATTTGTGCCTTCGCCTCACAGTGGAGCACTGGAGGAGGGTAACACCTCCATCCTCCCTCACCATCACCACGCTGCTGATCTCATACAGTCACTAAACCTGCTACAAATGTCACCTCATCGGCAGAAGCCCGACAATAACAGGGCATTTCAACAAGCCTCCTGCTTCTATTTAGATGCAACACACATCCTTGTTCACAGTAATGCGTGTTGAATTATGCAGGAACCAGCTTTCAATTTGCTACAAGAGGCTGAGGAGACGCAGTGCCAGACGAACCCATTTATTTCACCTTGCTCTCTGGGGTTTGTTTTCAAGCCAGCACAATGCTGCCTCCAACTCCCCTCAAGTATTTCCACTCCTGAGAGCTCCTCCATCCCCTCTGCCCGTGGCAGTGCTGCTCCTCCCAGCCAAGCTCCTGGCTATGGGGCGGCAGTGCCATGCTCAAGGAGTTTCTGAAGAGTTTCACTTAGGAATCAGCTAAGCAAGATGCCTTACACTTCACTTAGCAAGCCACAAAGCACCCTTGTAGGTAAAAGCTAAAGAGAGCATCCCAGGCTTCACGTGCAGAGCAGTAGGAGATGCAAAGGGATGTTTCAGCTCATGTTCCTGCTGTTCGGGATGAAGCAGCTGCGTGCTCCAGAACTCCAGCTAGAAGTAAAGGAGGGTTGGACAGCCAAGAGGTGCCCTACAGATAGAGGAACATTGCTTTCATGGGAACTGAGGGTACTGATTAATCAGCACAGCATCCTAACTGCTGGGCCCTGAGTGCTGCTCTGCAATAAGGCTCTTTTCGAGGGCTCTGTCCTAGAAACCAAATTCCAGAGGATAGGCTGGCTCTCACATCTGGAGGCAGCTGTTTTGCAGTGAGGCTTTCTCAAAGCAAGGATGCTGATAAGGGAATTATCTAAGAAAAAGCACCGAGACAGTTTCCCTCTGACAGCTTCTCACTCTTTACTCTCCTCCTGCCAGCTCTCTCCTGTTTGCACAAGGCCCTGTGAGAGCCCTGCTGCTTCCAGCAGCCCCTGCTATAACACAGGCTTCCAATGGGAAAGGGACTCGAGAGCCAACTTCTACAGCTTTCCCCTTCTCACAGCCTCCCAGCTGCGTAATTCAGCACCCAAAAAGTCACGCCCCAATTTTACAGCTCTTATCTCTTTGCACTTCAGCCACAAAGCTCTGTTTACTGCCTTGATTGGACTATGAGCTCTTCAGAGCATGGAGTGCCTTCCTGCTTTTAGCACTAATGGCTGTTAACTAAAACAAAATCTCCGTGAGTCCTTTTAATTACACCTCGCAGCTTCTGTTCCTCTCTGCAGCTGTGGATGAGCATCATTCCCTAGGGCCACCAGGCAGCAGAGCACCAGTGCTGCTGGTTGCACTGGGCAGAGGGGTTTGCTTTCCTCAGGCTTTCACCTGAGCTCATCTAGCAGCTGTGTTGCAGAGCTCCGGTTCCCACAAGCTAACCTTGCCCTGACCCAAATACAGACTGGCTGCTGGGTTACTGCCGTGCCAACACCAAGCCCCAGCTCCCTGCTGCATCCCTGCGCAGGGACAGCAGGACCGAGGGACGGGACAGAAGGACCAAGGGACAGGTGCCTCACCGAGCTCGGCGTCAGGCCCATGTTTGCCTCAATGTACGTCTCTGTCTTTGGCTCCACGGCGAGTTCTGCTTCCAGGATCTTCTCCACAGGCATGTCCTCATTGGCGCTACTTGTCGACTCCACCTCGTTCTCATTGCGGTCTTTCCCCCGCTGCCTCTCCTCCTGCACAGCTGGGGAGGGGAAGAAAGGAACAGCATCAGCCCGGGGCTCTTGACCGCGGTGCCAGGGGTGAGCTGGGACCCCGGAGCTCCACAGAGCCTCAGACACCTTCAGCATCCCTACGAGCTGCAGAGCACACACACCTGCTGCCTTGCTCTCCAACCTGAGCCTGCCAGCAGTGTGCTCAGTGGGTGCGAGGAACGGATGGGCGCTGCTGCAGGGGGAGAAAACGAGGAGGTGAAGGGACAGCAGTGGGGAATCCTAAAGAAAAGAGAAACGGGTCACTTTCACAGATAAGCCTACAGTCAGACCATTTCCTGAAGCTGCTGGTGCTGGATTCCCACGGAGGCCCCTGGAGCAGCAGTGGGGTTGTGCCATCACGCGCTGCTTGCAAAGCAGGACCCAGCCCACAGCTCTGACCAGACGGGACAGACCTGCCCCAGGTCCCATGCAGGAGAAGCAACCTAGCCAGAAGCATGTCACATGCTGATGAGTCAATGTCTGAAGAGTACACAGATGAAAAACGCTCGTTAGATGCTAATAGCATTATTATTAATCATCTCCTTTTGAAAACTGCACAAAGCTGTCGCTAAACCTGGAAAGCAGCTTCACGCAGACAGTTACACTGGTAACTATCTCTGTCTCAATCACAGAGCTGCATGCCCTAAATCCACGGTTCCCACAGGACACAGCTCGAGCAACAGGAGCTGCTACCATGAGAGACCACAGCCTGAACCTCCCCAGCTCTTTGTTCAGGGCTGAATGAGGCACTCAGCCATGCCGAAGCCTGCTATTTATTAGCAATTACCCCAACACTTTCCCTCTTTGCTGAATCTGAACCTGGCTGTGTGATGTGAGGAGCAGCAGCAGGGGCACAGGTGTTGCAGCAGTGAAACCAGAGCTGTTTGCAGCACAATCAAACCCTTCAGGCTGCTAAACCAACTCCATCCCAAGTGCAAAAAAATACAAGCTAGAATATAAAACTTCCTCCTTAGCACCAGGAAATTAAAGCATGTGCTATCCTATACAGATACTGCTCCTATTAACACCAGCCTGGTTTGCAGTGCCCTCCTGCTGCCCAGCCCTGCAGCTCTGCATGCCAACATTTTGTTTGCTGGCTGAAATCTGCAAAAAGCCAGAGGTGATTTCTACAAACTGCTTTTAAACGTAAGGGCTGCGGAGGCTCCGAGGTTCACACAGTGTTTTCTGCCTGGCTGCCCAGGGCCAGGTAGGCTGCTGCTGTTAACACTCAGATTTGTGCAGTGCCTTTTGTCCACCTGGACCTCATCTGGTTCTGGTTCTTATCTGTACTTTCCCAGGCTAACATCAAACCTGCTTAGATCTCTCCTCTCGCTCCCATACGTTCTTTTCTCGGCCCAAATTCTCCCTGGTGACACAACCAACATGTATTTAAGAGGAAACAACCACGTTCAGCTCTGGAGAATGCTTCTGGCTCCCATCTGACACGTCCTGCTGTGCAGATGGACAAGAACAGGGCACGCAGCTCAGGGACACGGAGGTCTCAGGACCATTCCCAGCCCTGCTGATGGCAGTGGCCATAGCATAGCACTTGCCCAGCACTAAGAGCAGGAGGTGAAGCAGGATTTCTGCTCGCCATGCCTCAGTAACACTCCTGTGACGAAGAGCATCTGCCCCAGCCCCATCTGATGGCTGTGCCAATGCTTTTCTTTTTCTTCAAGGAGACTCATATGGTTGAGAGGGCTTTTTTTTCTTTTTTTCTCCTGATGTGATTTTAACAGAAGGGAAGGGCTTAAAACTTGCAATCCACTTGAGGAGAAAAAAGATACTGCAGTCAGAGCCTCGCCTCCTCCAGCTATGTCTCAGCAGTGCCAAAGACAGAAGCCTGTGTTTTCCATGGCACCTGATGAAGATGTGCTCGTGTTATTCCACTTGATTTGGCTTCTTCTTGCCTAAGGCTGCTTGCTGTCGCTTTGCATCTCGCGATCCCAAGCCCATCTGCACTTCCCCAGGACAAGCACAGCAGTGTATGTGCTCAGACCACTTCTTGGCAGCTTCTCCCTCCGAAAGCACCAAAATGCTTCATCCCGTGGACAACACTGAGCTGCTCATGTGCCAAAAATGCAGGATCCATCCGCCAGGCAGCAGCCAGCTGAGGTGCCCCCAGCAGCAGTGCCATGGCTTGGGAAGGGCTCAGTGCCCTGTAATTATGGCTTACCCTGAGTTGATACAGATGGGCACACTTCTTTCCAAGTTAGAAATCCATCCTTCCAGGAACAATACTGCGGACTACTGGCTGAACTCAGTTTCTTTTCTTGAAGGAGAATAATTCCCCAGAACTTGACCTATTGACCACTGACCCAATGGGATCTTCTCTGGGGTCAGATGCCACAGGCAGGCTCTGCAGAGCAGGCACCTTGCTCAATTCATTCCTGGGCAGAATAAAAGCCACAGCCAATAATGGACAGAAGAAACACATGAGGGTGGTGACACACTGGAACAGGTTGCCCAAGGAGGCTGTGGATGCCCCATCCCTGCAGGCATTCAAGGCCAGGCTGGATGTGGCTCTGGGCAGCCTGGGCTGCTGGTTGGCAACCCTGCACATAGCAGGGGGTTGAAACGAGGTGAACACTGTGGTCCTTTTAACCCAATGATTCCATGACAATGGCCCCTTCCAATCTGCTGCAATTGAGGTGGCTCTGTGGACATCACCAGGGCACTGGGAGATGACAGAAGCTCTGGTGGCCTCCAGGACTCAAGCCTGAATGGGTTTGTCATAGCCTACAGTGCATGGCTGTTTATCTACTCGGTGCTCAGAGAAGGTTTACTGGGGATATCCATTTCAGCAGTGGAATTTATTGAGTTCTGCTGCTTTTTCTTTTTTGCTACATCTTAGATGTGCATCTTGAAAAGCTTATGCCTCAGGTACCCATTTATAGTGAAAGTGCTGCCATAGGAAACCAGCTCTGAGCACATTTCTCTGGCTTTGCCCTCATGCAGCTATGTTTCCTTTTTTTTTTCCCCCTATGTTGCAGCTTCTTATTGCTGTGAAAAACCTCAAAGGCTGTGATACAAGAAATCAATGGCGCCGTTTTTTTCCACATTTCAACTGAATCCCACGTTTGGTTATTTCTTAAGATGGGCAAAATTCTGCTGTGACGCTACGAATGTAACGTCATGGAAATGGAGTGTTAAAAAGTGGATTGAAGTATTTGCATGAAATCAATCCGTGCAGGGAATGGCTCTGGAAGACCAAAATCTCGAGGTCACTTCACTCTCAAAACCTGACCACAGCCCCACCAAAGCAATGAGAGAAAAGCACAAACCAAACCCTTATTCTCAACCTTGGAGCATTCTCCAAAACAACAAACAAACCCAGCATCACTTAACCAGCTGGTTTAAAGAGCAGCTCTTTAAAAGGATAGCAGAAACAAGCTCATTAAGCTGAAAAGCATTTTCCGTTCCAAAATTACTCCTAAAAATAACTGCTGCTCTTGAACTCTGCCCCTTCACTGGGCTGCGGCCACTCGTCTGGTTCAGCATTTGCTCAAAGCAGTGAGATGGAGACCCAGTTCTGGTCTTTCTCCCCATATTTCTGCTCCTGTTCACCCTGAGAAAGTTGGGGTGCAGGGATGGTTCTGTCATATGACACAGCAAGCTGTGAATGGAGCCAGGCCATGGTGTGACATCCAGGGAGCAATGCCAGGGGGCAGATTTCTGTCTCCAGGTGTGCTGAAGGTTCCTTGGTGGACCAGCACCCATCCCACCAGGTACCATCACATGTGCAATTAGTGAGGGCTGCAATTAAAAAAGCTGCCTGGAGACTAGAAGGAGATGGAGGGATGGGATGGGCAGCGCTGGGTCCTTGTGATTGCTCAGAGGGAGCATGGGAAAGGGCTCCTGGACAGCATTTCCTGCTGCTGGCAATGCAGGGCTGGGGCTCCGTATGCATCCCACAACAAACCCCTCCTACTGGCACTACATCCAACTCACTCACTTTCCACTTTTTCCCTTGAAACAGAAAGCTGCTGGCACATAGAGGCTCTAGAGCTGTTTAGTGAACCAAGACTCACCTCAGACCCTAACCAGAGTCACACCTGTGGATGCAGACTGCCACCCCATCACAACAGTCCTTGCATTAATCAAGGATCCTGACGGTAATCTGACTTTTGTTGTATTCACTGGGAGACAGCACAGAAATCAAAGGCTCACAAAGCTGGCAGTAATTTACAGTGGGAAGATGCTCCTGGTTGCTTATTTATCAGAGCCTCAATACCTCCAGACTCCACAGGGCTCACAGAGCATCAGGATGTGCTGTAATGTTTTTTCACAGAGAGCAGCCAGAGATGCAGGCTCCAGAAGGAATCCTTTCCCTGCACTAAGCCTGGATCCTCCACACCTGGCTGCTAAAGCCTCCACCCAAACAGCTCCCCCTGTCCTGTCCCTTCCCAGCACCAGGGCGTAGAGCAGTCACTGGAGAACCACTGAACAGCGACTCCTTCACTACTTAATTTAAAGGGTTTTGCTGTCCTTCCACGACATAAAAACACATTTGGGCTACAAAAGAGATGCTTCTCAGCAGGAGTCTGCTCTGCATTTACGGGGCTATAAATTAGGTCTCCAGAGTGAGGTATTTTGTGAGGAAATGAGACCCATTACCCCAGCTCTGTTACTTAAAAGAGGTAACAGTTTACACCAGAGGATAACAGCCAGCTTTCCTGTAAGCAAGCACTGGGGCAAAAGGAACCACTGTGCAGGAGGCAGCCCAGAGCTGCTCCCAAAAGAAGTGCTGTGGGGACAACTATGGCCAAGGCTCAGGGCTGGCAACAGGAAAGGACAGCAAGCAGTGGGATGGATGCAATGGGATGGAGATCATCTGCTGGCAGATCAAGTGGATCAGCACTAAAGAGCTGCTCAAAACCAAAGCTCGGGGAGCTCCAGCTCCAGGTGTGTGCTGTAACAGTGGGACATTTCTGCACTGCCTGCAGCCACTGCACTGCCAGGCTTACCTGGGGAGCAGGGCACTGAGCCCAGCTCTGCCTGCACGGGGATCATACCCTATGCACCAGCAAAGCCCTCCCCGTGCCATGCCAGCACCGCCTGGGTGCGCTTGGAGAGTTATGAAGCTCCCATCTGTCACACTTTTAAATAATTGGCTGATCGTTATGAATTCATTTGCTATTCACTGCGATAATGTTAATCAAGATGAATTAATAGAGCCCTCGCACTGTACGCGCGCTCCCCGGGGAATTCCACCACCGTTTAGAGATTAATTAATAGAGCTGTAACTTCACCGGTGCTGCCCGTGCAATTGCTGTGGGCATGAAGCAGTACCCTATCACAGGATATGACTGCTCACAAACCAAGGGGATGGAGAACCCAAGGGGATGGAGAACCCACTCCCCTAAAACACACTCAAATGAGGTCTCTGCTCACAGCTGCACCGGGCACAGCCACCTCCATGCTACAACCCATCACTGTTTGCACCAGAAAACTCCAAAGTTTCCAAGCACCAAAGTTCTGCAGGACCAGGGAGGGCACCCCAAGGGCTCTCCGGAGGGATGCCAGCAGGGAAAGGGCTCTGCCTGCCCCAGTGAGGGTGTAAGGGGAGAAGGCAGCGGAGACCTGAGCAGTGCTGCGGGGTCACTTTCCCATCGTGCCTGCTAAAAGCCCATTCTGCCAGCAGTTTCAGAGAGATGCAGTCAGCATTTAAAAAGAGCACTTCAAAGAGGCTCTGCCAGGGAGTTTTAGATCCTTCATTTAAATTCCAGTAAGGGGAAGGGATATCTTTTTACAAGACTGAATTTCTTCTTTCTTCCCAATAAGAAAAAACCAGCCAGTAGGGAACACTCCTGGATCAGCACGGCCCCAGCTATAGGCAGACGGGGCACAACGTGTGCCTGACAGCCACGTGTGTCACCCCAACCACACGGCCAGGTGCCCACAGGACACACAGCACCCCAGGGGGGCTCAGTGCCTTACCTTCCCTCTTCATCCCCATGGCAAGACACTTCTGGTAGCGGCAGTACTGGCAGCGGTTGCGCTGGCGCTTGTCGATCAAGCAGTCCTTGTTGTCACGGCAGGTGTAGGTCAGGTCCTTCCTCACCGTGCGTTTGAAGAAGCCTTTGCAGCCCTCGCAGCTGTACACCCCATAATGTTTACCTGCAGATGGGTGAAAGGGCTCAGCAAGGGTGCTGGGTGCCCACAGATCGTTTGCTTTCCCTCGTCGTGGACCTGCAGATCTTCTCAAAGGGACCCTCCCAACCCAAAGCTGTTCCATGATCCTTCCCAGAGCAGCATTTGGGAGAGGCAGAGGCTCCTCGGAGCATCAGCAAGGAAGGCTTTGCCTTCATTAATCTCCATAACACCAGGATGCCCTGTGGGGGCTACAAACTGCCCCAACCACCACTGGTTATCCATGCAGCAAGACTGGGGGCACCTCACTATGACCCTCCCCAGCCCAACTGGATGAGCAGGAGGCATCCCCCAGGACCACAAAACTTAGCAGGGCACTACAAGAGCTGAAAGCTTTTAAAGCAGCATGAGAATAAAGGGAATTAGCACATCTTTATCTCCCACCAGTGGAGAGACTCCACGCAGCACATCTTTTTATCTGGTGCTAGGTGATGAGCCCAGCCATGGATCAAAGGATGCAGAGAGAGGGATGCTCAGCTAATGGCTGGTCCTCCCTGCTGGGGGCTGGGGATAAAGCATGGGATTGGCTCTACCAGGGAGCCTGACAAATTGTTTACTTCTCTGGTTACCATTAGGGCAGTGTGAAGGATGGGGAGGTCAAACAGCTGAGCTGTGCACACCTCACCTGGGAGAAAGCAAGCCTGGGGAGGCTTTTCCTTCCCCATAGGGCACTTTTGTCCCTAAGCAGGGAGATGGTGCTAAGCTCCTATGTGCCTTGGCACCCATTGGCATCATGCAGTGAAGGAGGAGCCTTACCTGAAGATCTGTCCCCGCAAATGGCACATATGTGCTTGGTGAAGGAGGCCATTGTTCCTGAGGGATGTGCTGGCACTTTGAGGACTCCATTGAGCCCCAGGGGTGGTTTGATGTCTTCTGAGCTGCTGACGGGGTTCATGGGCGAGTTGAGCTGCGAGGACATAAGCAGGGAGCACATGGGATCGGGTACAGGCAGGGAAACGTATGAAAGAAGGGACAAGCCTCAAATGGGGACAAACAGCTTAAAACCCATAGTGCTGAGCCCAGAGGAGGACGTGGGCACCTGAGCCCAGAGATCAGTGAGCCAGGTGCAACAAGGCCTGGCTTTGCAGAGCTGCAGGTGTGGGATGCTTCCCTGCCATTCACAGCCTTCAGCAGAGCTCAAGAGAATTAGGAAACAAAGCAAAGAAAGCTGGAACAGAGGGGCTGGCATGGCCCCATCTGCAGCTCCGGGATTTCAATGAAACATTCCTGACTTGATTTCCACATTCCTGGCAGGACAGGACGGTGCTCCCCCCTGCACAGAGAGAAACTGAGGCACGGAACTGTGAGACAAGCTCAGTCCTGGCAACGGAAACAAGCTCACAGCAACCTGTGCTCTGCTACCCTGCCTATGGCTGCATAGTCCAAATAACTCACTGAGGCATGAAGGAAAGGTGTGAGGACAAAGCTGCAGTCCCAGCCTGCAGGTTCCAGGCTGCTGTCCCCATCGCAGCAGCCATCTGCACCTTCAGGGCCTCAGGGATTTTTTCTGCAACAAGATTTTATGCTCAATGCCATCAGAAAGACCCCTCTGCAAAAATGCTCTATGCTGGTGTCACTGTGCCCTCCTGCACAGTCCTACTGAGAGGGGACAGGGATGCAGGAGGGACCCCGCAGGGACCAAAGCCCAGCCTAAAGCAGCTATAATAGAGTCCTGCATGGGCAGCCAGGCTTCTGCAGCTCCTGCCAACTGCTAAAACCAAGCAGGACAGACAAGATTTGTGTCTTGGCTTGTTGTCTTTCTCTTCCTTAACAGAGACGCTGGGCAATTGCACTTGTCACAGATTAATTCAGGGAAGTCCCAGGGCTCGTGTTCTGTCCATTAGAAGACCACAGCCACTCCTCTGACTTTCAAACCTCCAAACTAGTAGGAATACTTGGCAGGTAGAGGGCTGATAACCACAGCACACAGCAAGGCAAACCCATCCCAGTGAGCAGGGATGCAGCAGGAGCATCCCTTGGGGATGTGACACAGCGCCAGGGTGAAAGGCATGAGCCACACAAAGTTGCAGCACTGCATATGGCTTTGGGGTCACTGGCTCTGCCAACACCCCCACAACACTTTTTGGAGCTAATCACGAAGCACTACGTTCTCTGGGGCAGAGAACTTTAGATATCTGCTAAAATAAGCTTTTCATCACCAAGCCCCCCCCCAGCCCCAAACTCCACGTGAGAATCATGTGAGCATCTTCCTTCTGAAGGGTACCAGGACATGGGGTGCCACCGCCCCCAGAACTCAGCCCTGCTGGAGCTGAGTCAGCCCCAGGATGGGAGAAGTCACCAGTTCCTCCTGCAGCCCCAGCCCCACGTGTGCTATGAGGTTCCCACACCGCCCCGGCGCCAGCCCCACTCCTTCCCCTATGGCTGGGGTGGAGCTGGGAGCACGTGCCATGGGAGTGCACCCTGCACAGCACAGAGCAGGGACACAGAACTGCTGCTCTGCTTCCCCAATGACGTGGCAGCCCCATGCGCCGGGACTCCTCGGCTCCTCTCTTTTCCCTTTTTAGTTCATTGCACGGGGGATCAAATCCCCTTTGGTCTATTGGTAACCAGAGCTTTCCTCTTTTTTCCATCTGTAACACACCCAGAATCAAAAATCATTGTGTAAAGGCTCTGGAGGAGCCTAATCCTGCTCCTGATCCATGCCGCTGGGCATCCCAAGCTGCTGCCAGTGATGCCTGGGGCACCACAGAGCAGAACGAAGGAAGAAGACTCCAGCATTGGAAGTCCATCCCTTCCACCTCTTACAGAAAATTATGCTTTTTTTGTTTTCCCAGCAATTTTAAGTAAGAGGGCTTAAACGTGCACTAAATCCCAGCAAGCAGCCCTCTGGTCAGGCTGGGACTTTGCTCTCTGCCAGCTCGTGCCCAGCTCAGTGCTTGTGCCCCCTCCCCACAGGGTCCCCAGGGGTCGCCTTGGAGCCGGGCTGTGCCTGGAGGCTGCGTGAGATCCCATGCAGGAGGAGATGCTCAAGGTCAGAGCTGATGTCTTTTGGCAAAGCTCAGGCCGGGAGGAGCTGGGTCACAGCTTGCATGGGAAGAAACAGCAGAGGGAACGCAGCCGGGATTTTGGGAGCTGACATCTCCGTCCCACCCCGGCGCGGCTGCCCCACACCCTTCTGCTCTGTTGCCTTTCTAGAGGCAATGAGGCATGGTCTGATGGCAAGTGGCATCTGCCATCTGATGCAAACCACCTTCCATCAGGGTGATCCCCACCCGGCGGCTGGGGCCGCACGCCTCATTACCCCCGGCGCTTCGCCGGCCGGTGCACAATGGGGGGACTGCACTCCCTTCTCTTCTTCCTCCTCCTCCTGTGCTTCTATGCAAGCCCAGGTAGGTGCCTGCTGCAGGGCCGGAGCCCTAATGCGCCCAGACAAGGGACAGATGGGCAGGAGCCATTAGGCTGGAAACCTCCTCACCATCTCCTGGAGGAAAACCACTTAAGACAAGTCTGTGGTGCCGGCACCGTGCCGCCAGGGCTGGGAGACGCCGTGCCGCCGGCCTGCTTCTGGGCACCATCTGACCATGCTCTCAATTCCCCTTTTTACTCTGTGGTTGGCTTTTATTTCAGTTCCTCCAGCTCCTACACCGCATCGTGCCTAGCAGCAGAGCTTCCTCGTTCCACCCCCCCCAGCTGGCGGCTCAGCCCCACCTTGCTTCCCACTCCTTCCCCACCACTTCAGAGCTGGCACTGCCCATTCCAATGCACTGTTTCAGTTCCCCTTCCCTTTGCCACGGGACAGGAGGCAGCACAGAGAGCTCCCCCTGAACCTACAGGGGCATGGGCAAACCCTACACTGCCTCTCCCATTGCATCTCCATTGGGGATGGCTGACAGTGCCCGCAGGGCACGTCCCTCCCCAGCCAGAGCAAAAAGACCCCGTTATTGCTGGAAATAAATCAGGCCAATATTTAAAAATAAAGGTGCTGGCAGGTGCTTGACTCCCAGTGAGGGCTTGGGATAAATAAACCGGCACTGAGTGGCAGGTGGTAGCCAATTCCTTAATCTGCCCTTTTACTAAACATATATCGTGCAAGCAGCCAGCAACAGGTGGCAGGGGCTGGCCAGCTCTCCCCGATCTTGCTATTTTTAAAAAGAGCTTATCTCTTGCTAGTTGGAGTTTTTTTACATAATCTTCAGCCAACCAACACCAGTTCCTCCCTCTGTGGAGGGAAAGAGGGGCAGTGGGCAGGGAGGGGACAGCTGATGGATGGCTATGGTCCTGCTCTACACCCCAGCGGTCCCCCATATGACACTGGAGCAGCAGGAAGCCTCGGGCTTCATTTCCCCCTTTGGGTTCTGCTTTTTGCCACCCTGTGGCGCCTGCCTATGTCTCCATGCTGTCTGAAATGGGGTTTTGCTCCCTGTGCTATCTGCAGCGGGGTTTCACTCCTCAAAACCTGGGAAAACATCACCAGAAGTGGGACTGGATCAAACCCCAAAACCACGGCTCTGCCCCAGCAAACCAGCAGCGACATCCCTGCCGCTCTCCCCTCACCTGTGGGCTGCTGGTGCCGAATCCCAGGCTGGGCGTGGAGGGGACAGACATCGAGTGTGGGCCCATAGGGGAGCTGATAACGGAGAAGGGTGGCCCCATGCCATTGATGGGTGAGCTCAGGGTGCTGATGGGTGAGTGCAGCTGGCCCGGGGAGCCCAGCGAGGAGCCGATGCCCGGCCCGATGGACGGGTGCAGGGATGGGGTGGCCATGGGGCCTCGGCTCGTCGGGGAGTTCAGGGGTGTGGAATTCACTTGGTTTGAGAAATCTGGAAGAGAGAAGAAAAAAAAAAAGAGAAAAGGGCTTGAGTCTCATCTGGTATCGCAGCCAGACCTCTAGAGGCTGCTTTTCAACACCCCCAACCTCCTGATGCACACACCTCCACCAGCACCACTTCCAAAATCCCCTTTTATTTTGGTCTTTTTTGGTGTAGAACCCAAAAATCACTAACAGAGAGAGTTCCCAACTCCAGAGCTGTCACTGCCCTCCTCCCTCCTTCACTCCCTGTACCCAGCAGCATCGCTCCCCAAAGGGTGCAGAACCAGAGGGCGTAGAACTAAGGGATGCAGACCAGGGGATGCAGGACCAGGGCCCATCCTACAGATACCACCATTCAGATTTCAAGGCGATGCTAAAGGGAAGGTACAGAGGGACAGACGACGCACAAAGAGGAGGGCTGGGGGGCTGTGCAAGCTGAGCTTCGCAGATGACACACTAATTGCTGCATGCAGCACTAGGGGGGGGTGCACCCACCATGCTCTGAGCAGCTCGGCTGTCCCAGGGGAGTGAGAGAGGGGTGTTTAAAAATAGCCAGCAATTCTCCCGAGAGGAGACATGGAGCCATTCCTGGCACGTTTCCTCCTCATCCTGTCACGCTGCTTGCAAAACAATCCTAGGCAAGGAAGAGGCAGGCTCGTGGCCCCCAGGCTGACTGCGGGGGGAGCAGCCGGAAGGCAGTGGGGTGGGGCTGTGGGAACCCCCCCGGCACCCCAGAGCTGCCTTGGGCTCCCAGCAGCAAACACATGGGAAATGAGGGGCAGGTGACAGCAAAGCCCCTTGACTGGAGAGCAGGGCTTTGTGGTGGGGTCTGAGAGCCACTGCATTTGGCTGCAGGCTGCTGAAGTTCATGCTGTCCTGGGAAATGATGGCTTCTGTCACCTGCATGGGGTCAGGTGTCTCCCCAGTCCCACTTCTTCTTGTCCCTATGGGCATGGAGAAATGGTGTAAGGGCAAGCAAGGCTCCGTCTCATCACTGCATCCATGGCTCCAGGGATGGGGGGAGGGGGAAAACTGCAAGCAAGCCTGCTGGTCTGCTGCCCCTACACACATCTCTTGCCAAACAGATGCAGACCAGAAGGATTTTAAGCAACAGAAGCATTGCACAGTGGGAAATGTGCTTGACAAACCCACAGCAAACCCAGCTCCAGCCAGCTCCCCCAGAGAGCAAGGAAATCCCACCACAGGGAAGCGCAGACCCCCAGCAAGACTGCAATGCTCCTCTTGCAAAACTGTACTCAGCATCACACCACTGCACCCAGCATCCCACCTCGGACACACAGAGGGGACACACGCCCTGACCCTATGCCCCAACCCAATGCCACCACCAATGGCAAAGCCCAGCCCTGGCACACATCTCCATGTGCTCCCTGGGGTCTTGGCCTCTTGTTGGCTCCTGCAGGATGTTGACTTAAAATAACCACCAGCCACTGCGTCATCTGCAGATGAGTGACATGAGTGCTGCACAACAGGAACCTCAGGACATTCCTTGAGGCTTCAGGACTGTTCTTCCCAGTTCTCTGCTTTTTGGATTCTTTAAAGGAGTTGGAGTAGGGCTTGGCACCATAATGTGCTCAGAGGACATGGGATGAGAGGTATGCCTTGTCACCCTCCTAACCTTCACTCTCAGGGTGCTCAAACAAAAGGAGACGTTCATCCTGCAGCAGGTTGTGCACATGGGCAAGGAGCCCTGCTCTCTGGAGGAGCCCCAAAAACCCGCAGCAGCTGGGGTCCAAAATGATGGATGGGGATGAAGACATCCAAAACTGAGAACCAAGGCAATGGATGGTGGATGCCTCAAACCACAACCGAGGATGCACTGGGCTCACAGCCCTGAAGCAGCATAGTGGAACAAGGCTCTTGTGCTGGCAGTAGGGCGAAGGAAACACATGCAGCCCTGCCTCCAATGGTCCTGGGAATTTCAGGCGCTGCTGAGGCGAGGTCGCAGGCAGGTTACTGGCGAGCAGCCCGTGCCGACTGCAGCACGTCAGAGAGCAAAGCACGTGTGGGCTCGACTCACCATCCCAGCCCCTCTCCTGAAATAACCATCCCCAGGACACAGAGCTCCCCAGCACCCCGCACCCATCCTGTTTACTTCGTGCTGAAGACGCAAATCGGGGAGAAGCACAGCCACGTGCTGGGGTGTGTTTGCACCCAAAGCCCACAGCCATGCACACGGAAGCAGCGTGGCTCAAAGCACCGGGAAGTTTCCACTCCTCCTCAAACTCGTCTGCAGAGATCCCAAACAAGCAAGAAGGAAACGTTTGCCTCTGGCACAGGCAGAGTGTGCTCACCCCAAATCTCAGCCAGCTATAAGGAAGCAGGCAGGGAGCCCTGGGACGAGCTGTCTTTCAAGCACAGCCCAAAGTGTTCATTTATGTTGAAACCCTAACACCCAGATTGAGGAAACATCCTTCAAATAAACAACTCCAAGCAAATAAACACCTACAACGAAGGATACAGCTTTGGCTAAGCAAACTGGGGAGGTCACTTCTCAAAGGCTGCTTCAGTGCAAGCAGCATGAGGCGGTTCATTTTTCTTGTGTACTTTTGCCATTTAAAGCCACCGTGTGTGATTATCTCCTGACCAAAATAAACTCTGTGTCTGTTTCTAAATACAAGAAAAAAAAAAAGAAAAAAAAAAAGCAGTTCTCAAAGCATTTCCCCTCTTGCCGCACCCATAAATTGCAGCTATTTTCTCTATGTGTCCTTTGTTTAAACACAACGACCTCTATATATCCTATAAGATGCCCCATGGCAGTAGGGAGAGAGAATCGAGAGATGCTCACAGCTGAAGAATGTGCAGCAAAGCTCTTTATTCTCTAAATTATGAACCTGCAAGCCACAGAATCCGGAGGGATATTTTCCCAAAGAAATGGACACAGAGGGCAAGGCCACGTGGCATGGGGAATGCAGCAGCCACACAGAGCCATGCTTTGGGCTCTGCTCCGTGTGTCCCAGCATAAAGCACTGCACAGAGCAGAGCTGGTGGGTTCTGATCCGACCACGCGATAAGGAGCCTCATTCTGTAAGAGGCTGGGGTTTTTAGGCCCGCTGTGCTCATCACTGCCCTCCACTCTTGCAATGCATCCATTGGGTGCCTCTATCGTGGTTTCAAGGCTGGGGAAAGCAAGACGTGGAAGAGTCCAGTTGGGGGACTGAATCAACCTGCCTTGTGGGTTTGTTTTTTTTTTTTGGCCTGATGTCTTCGTGCCAAGCAGCGTTTCTTAACTGTTATCAGTTTTCAATAAGAAAACATCATTACAAAACATTTGCCTCCATTCTCATCCATGTGCATTAGATCCTCAGAGCAGACCAGACAAGCACAAAATGTCCCTCTGCACTTCGCACCACTATTTTCCATTCCCTTTTGCACTCCCTGGACCAAAAGCCCAAAGCTCCCAATTGCACCAGCAGCAGCCTGCAGTACACACAGCTTTCAGCCCCCAGGTTTTCTAAAGCACCTGAGCAAGCCAGCAGCCCTTGCATCACTTCCTCCACGCACCACTCCCCCCCTGCATTCAGCGCTTGCATTCACCACCAGAGCTGCATTTCTCAGTGCTGCTCTGCCCGGTGAGCCCCAGGCAGCCCATCAGCTGCTGACACAGCAATACCTCGGGCTGTGATTTTAACACTTCTAAACCAGAGCAGAAACAATTACAACAGCACAGGGGCGATTTTTCCCAGGATAGCTCATTTGTACCAGAATAAACTGTACCAGCATAAGCTTTCACCAGTATAATCTTCATTGATGCTTAAGAGGCTTTGCCAGTAAAACTACAGTGACCCAGCTCTGCTGGAAACCCTTTTCTGGTCTATCCAGGAGCTCACCGTGCTGCTGGCAGGGGGGAAGCCCCAAAGCCCATCTCCAGCCCCCAGCACCCACACTGTCCCACGGGTGGTGGCACAGCCCAGCATCCCCAGCACGACGCCTTCACCCCCAGGTTTCCGTTATTTGCTTTTTTTTCTTCTTATTTTTTTTCCTCAGCACCTCTTCCTCTGTAATCAGCACGCAGATCAATTCTGGGTATTGCACTGCAGGAAATTCTAAATTTGGGAAGCCGCTCCCTTCCGGAGTGCAGTCCTTACCCTGCAGGGCTGCAGTCAGAGAGGAGTCAGGACCAGCAGCAGGGATGGGGCTGTCAGAATGCTCCTCCTGCTCTGCTCCCAAGGACAAGGTTGGGGTTGGCCACGTGCACAAAGCTCCCAAAGCCAAATTCATGTGAATCCACAATGCAGTGCAACACGCCGAGTGCAGTGTTCCTTGCTTCTTTTGGTGACTCTGCAGGTGGCGAGGTTCCCTAACAGTACTCAGCAGTGAAAATCACTGCCCATTTCTCTTGTGCCTCAGAAGCAGCACAGCAGAGCCCCAGCAGGCTTTCCCCTGAGGAACCTCAGTGCAGAGATGAGTGCCTGCCCTGCGGCGTGATGGGACCCAATGGTTCGACCCCAGCTTTCACCTGGAAACTGCCATGGGAGTGGTGACCACCAGAGGTCAGGTCCTCGCTTTGGTCCCTGATGAAAGAATTCAGGGAAAAGAGCATGTTTGCAGTGCATGATGCTCAACAGCCCCCAGCCTGGAGTGAGTTTGCTTTGGATTTACAGCAGCACAGCAAGGTCCCTATCCTGCAAGAAGGCACGGCATGAGGTCCCATCCTGCCACCTCCAAGGAGGTGACAATGACGATCCCAAGCACCAAAGTCACGTCCAGCTTGCACCCACCTCCCCCAGAGCTTTAAAACCTCCCAGCTTGCAAGAGGGAGAAGCCAATCAAGGGTGGCACACAGCACCAAACACACCTTGGGAAGCCCTCCGCTCAGCAGCGCAGCACCCATGGGACCAAGGAGCAAGAAGCATCCTGTGGCCAAAGACACCAAACCACACCGCATTCACAGCACTTCGCCTGGCGAAGACAGGCAGCCCATCCCCCAAAACCAGGCACGAGGAAGTCGTGCGGTTTCACCCAAAAAAAAAAAAATCACTTGAATTTTTT